GCCCCTTCTGTTGTGATTGAGGAAGTTTCGACCATGGGCTAGTCCATGAACAACTTGCAGTTAGTGTGGGGAGGTCAGATGTGTGCGTGCGTGCGTGTGTGCATGTGTGCACGTGCATGTGCGTGTGTGCATGTGTGCACGTGTGTGTGCATGTACACACGTATGCGCACGTACGTGTGTGTGTGTGTGTGTATGTACACACGTATGCATGTGTGTGTGTGTGTGTGTGTGTGTGAGAGACCTCCTCCCTCCTGGGTTCTGCGATGTGTGGGCCATGGACCTTCTCTGTCTCGGCTCAGCTCCGGGCTGTGTCCCCAGCTGCCGGTGGCCCCGGGACCTGCTGTCTCCACCAGGCAATTCCAACCGTCCTCAGCTGCTCCTGTGGCCTCCCCTGCACCTTCCCTGTGAGCGGCTGCGGCCCCGCCTCCGTCCCCCTTCTGCGTCAGGACCAGCCTGCCTCTCGGGTGCCTTTTCTGCCCCTGAGCTGCTTTGGGCAGTCAGCCAGCCCCTCCTGTCCCTTGGCCCGTCCCACCGCCTCCCACCGTCCTCCCTGCCTCTGGCCCTCCCTGCTCCAGGCGACCCTGCTTCTCTGATCGCTTTTTAAAAAACTTACTTTTTATTTCAAAAGTAAATTCTTCCCACCTGGGTGCAACCAGTGGTTGTCCTTCTAAAACGCCTCCACCCTGATCCTGTCTCTCGCCTGGGGGATTCCGGAGGCTGAGGAAGCCAGGCCCCTCCCGGCTCCCCACCCCAGGGTCTGCTGTGGCCCAGGCCGCCTCTTGGTCTGAACGCTCCTGTCCCCATTCCTAAGTGGAAGCCCCAACCCCTGTGCGATGTGTTGGGAGGTGGGGCCTTGGGGAGGTGACTAGGTCGCGGGTGCTGAGCCCTCCTCAGTGGGATCCGTACGCTAATCAAGGAGAGGGCCCCCGCCCCTCCACCACGTCAGGACAGCGGAAGTCAGTGATCTGCATCTGGAACAGGGCTCTGGCTGGAATCCATCCGTGCTGGCCTCTCGATGGGGAATTCCCAGCCCCCGGAACCGTGAGAAACACGTGGCTGCTGATGCTCAGCCACCGTCGGTGGTTTGGTCTCAGCGGCCCCGGCGGAGGAAGACACAGCCTTGGAGCAGGGTCTGGGGGTGCTCACGTCTTAGAGCTCTGCCCACGATGTGTGGGTCGCGGCCTGGTGGCCTGTCTGGCTCCCGCTGGGTAGCATCTCCTCTCCTGGGCCCCCAGTGCCCAGTGCAGTGGCCATGGCGGCCAGTGTCCGCTGAGTGAGTGGCAGCCCCTCCGCATCCTGAAGGCAAAACGAGGCCCTCAGGCACCCCCTCCGTTCAGACCTTTCCATGTTGGCCGCGCCTTGTCCGCCAGCGTCTTGGCTGTCCCCTCCTCGTCTCCCTCTTCATCTGTCTCTTTCCGACTCTGTGGCCGCCATCCTTCACCGGGACCGCGGTGGGTGCAGCAGCGGCTGTATGTTCATTGCTGTGCGCTCGACAGCGAGCGGCTTCTGCACGGCCTTCTGTCCGCAACCTTCCGTAACTCATCCCGCAGCGTGGACAGGCCTGCGTGTGGCCTCGGACGTGGAGGGCGCTGCGCCCTGCCCCAGGCCCCGGCTGGAGGAACTCCCCAGGGACAGGGACGCTTTCCCACCCCCCTCAGCATAACCCACTCCCTCCCCTGGGTCCTTGTGGCTTCTTGCGGTGCTCGGTTCGCGCCCCTTCCACGCCCTCCCTCCCGCTGGAGCAGTTTGGTGAGGTCTCCTCCTGCTCAGACTGCCAGCTCCCTGGGGCTGGGAGGGGCCTGGAACCTGCCCTTCTGCATCCAGGAGTCGCACTCGGCATGATGCCGAGCCCTCAGGAAGCCGGTCACGGGGAGTCAGCCTCAGGACCTCGCTGTCTTAGCTTGTTTGGGAACCTCAGAGTGTCACGGAGCAGAATCCATGCCTGACATCTGCTCTGCGGCCCGTGTCACCTGCTGCTCCGAGGGAGGAGGAAATTGGATTAGTTCAGCAAGGCGGACCCGAGGGACCATGGTGCACGTGGCCTTCGGCAGGTGCCCGTCCCTCCGCTCAGGCCCGGGTGGTGGAGAGCCAGGGGTGCCGCTCAGAACTGTGTTCTATCAAAACCGCGGCCATTTTGAACTCTCTGGTCTCGCTGGCTCCAGGGTCTCCGAAGTGATGCCCTGAGGCTGGTTCTGCCTGTCAACCCTACGATCTGCCCTCGTCCATCCTGAGCTGGGGACAGCCTTCTCCAGGGGCTTTGCCTCCGTTCCTGCTTCCTCTCGACTGGGCATCATGCCTCTCTGACCAAGAGCTGCCCCTCTCCAGAGGCCTGACTCTATTTTCCAAGAGCTGTTTGTTTTTTTTTATCCTCACCTGAGGACATTTTTTTTTTTGTTCAGATAGAGTGGGAGGGAGAGAGAGGAAGAGAGAGAGAGAAACGTCGACGTGAAGGGACACATCGAGTGGCTGCCACCCGCACGACCAACCAGGGCCGGGGACAAACTGCAACCGAGGTACGTGCCCTTAGCGGGAACCGAACCCGGGTCTCTCTGTACCGCAGGCCGACGCTCTAACCGCTGAGCCAAACCAGCCAGGGCTGTTTTTTTTTTTAAGAAAACATTTTATTTATTTATTTTTTTGTTCAGATAGAGTGGGAGGGAGAGAGAGGAAGAGAGAGGAAGAGAGAGAGAGAAACATCAATGTGAAAGCGACACATCAAGTGGCTGCCACCCGCATGACCCAAGCAGGGCTGGGGACAAACTGCAACCCAGGTACATGCCCTTAGCGGGAACCGAACCTGGGTCTCTTGGCACCGCAGGCCGACGCTCTAACCGCTGAGCCAAACTGGCCAAGGCCAAGAGCTGGTTTTGAGGACAGTTTATTTTAGGCCTGTTAAATTTGATTGGGCATCACCCTTATTGTGACGTTGCATTTTGAAAAAAGCAGTTCAGTCTATTTGGCGACAGCTCGTGTGACTAATTAATACTGTGCCCTGCACCATGGAACTTAACCGGGCATCACCGAAACACCAAGTCATAACATGTTTCCTGTTTGAAACTGTCTTAGTACATCAGAACACCCATGTTCCAATCATACACTGCATTAATAAACTGAGCATCTTTTATTGATGCATCTTCTTGAGCAAGAAAATAATCCTTATGGCTTTATAAACTTGTGTGTTCCAGGAGGTGCCATTCTGAACATGAATTTTTTGAATTAATAAGGCAGATGTCAAGCCTTTAATTGGCCCTTCTCTCCCAGCCGGCCCTGTCAATTTGGGGACTTTGTTGGAGATGAGATAATTCTCCAACGACGTGAAACTGACATGTGGGTTAGATGCTGCTGGTCTTTGGGGAGGCGGGGCTGGCTGTGCAGAGTTGATGTTCAATAACTGGCCAAGGCCACCCTGACTTGGTCTTCACAGAGTTTTCTACCAAAGTTCCTCGAAGAGCAGAGAGGGCCAAGAAAGATGGTGGCAGCTTACCTGTCTGGCCCACACAGTTTGCATTAAAGTCTTGAGCTTGGTATTCAGTGTTCATGACTTTTGTTTTCAACTCTGTTTCCATTTTCCTCCCAAACTTCAGCTGACCGGGTTTGATTAGGCAGGTGTATCTTTATTTCGGGGCTTCTGGACCCCTTGGGCTCAGACACCTGTCTTGAGAAGCAGGTATAAAAATGGCAATAGCCCTGCCCAGTTTGGCTCAGCGGTTAGAGTGTTGACCCATGGACTGATGAGTCATGGGTTCAGTTTTGGTCAAGGGCATGTACCTCAGTTGCAGTTCGTCCCTGTCCCTGGTTGGATCATACAGGAAGCAACCAGTTGATGTGGCTCTATCACATTGATGTTTCTCTCTGTCTCTCTTTCTCCCTCCCTTGGGTGAGGAATACAAAAAAGAAAAGGCAATAAAAGGGGCATAAAGAAGATACCAGAGGAGAAGTAAACCATGGTATATCTATTCAATGGACTAGTATTCAGCACTAAAAAATAATTTTGAGAGGTCAAGCCATGAAAAGACACAGGGATGCCTGTCACCAAGGTACAGAAGCCAATCTGAAAAGGCTGCATACTATTTGACTTTTTTTTTTTTATCCTCACCCGAGGATATTTTTCCATTTTTTTGTACAGATAGAGTGGGAGGGAGAGAGAGCAAGAGAGAGAGAGAGAGAGAGGGAAACATCGATGTGAAAGGGACACATCGAGTGGCTGCCACCCGCACGACCAACCAGGGCCGGGGACAAACTGCAACCGAAGTACGTGCCCTTAGCGGGAACCGAACCTGGGTCTCTCCGGACCGCAGGCCGACGCTCTAACCGCTGAGCCAAACTGGCCAGGGCGGCTGCATACTATCTGATTCCAACTCTGTGCCATTCTGGAAAAGGCAAAACCATGGCGACAGTAAGAAGATCAGCGATTGCCGGGGCAGCAGGGAGGGAGGGTGAGTAGCTGGAGCATGGGATTTTCAGGGCAGTGACCCTACTCTGTATGATACTGTCATGGTGGGTACATTAGGGTAAACCCATGCCTTGTACAGCCCCCAGAGCGAGCCCGGCCTCAGGCATGGACTCGGGGTGAGTACGCTCCATCAGTCGTAAGAAACGACCAGTCCCCTGTGGATGCTCAGGTGCCTCACTTGATGCCCTTAGATACGTTGGCTTTAGCTGAATTTGGGGAATGCTGACTTGTGGCCCATAATTGGACTTTGGGGGGTGGGGAGTAATTCTTGCCCATGAATTTGTCAATATCTGCGTGTAGCTTCTGGCCCAGCAGCATTAGGAGAGATCGTGCTGTGGGGCCAACAACGGGCGCTCTGTGAGGACACCGTGAAGGCCCCTCAGGTGAGAGCGGTGCTTCTGTGCCCTGGTCCGTGCTCTCTGGAAACCTCTCCTCTAGAGGGAACCCCTGCTTCACCCACGTGTGCTCCCCCCGTTGCACGGTGACAGTGCCCGTGGTGACCAGGTGGCTGCGTGCGCAGCGTCACCCCTCTTGGCTTTCTCTCTAGTCGTGGCTGTGTACGTGAAGGAGTCCTGGTGGGCCACCGAAGACGTGCTGAGAACCTCTGACCCGGCGAGAGAAGGTCTGATGGAGGTGAGGTGGTGTCGTTCGCAATGGACTTTGCAAAGAGGTCCTAAAAGCCCTGGTACTGTTGCCCTGTTAGGAATTTAGAGCCGCCTGCCCCCGTGGATTCGTGGGTCCGTTGGCTGGGATGGCTATGACAGAGCAGCCCAAACGGGCCCCAACAACTCATGTCCCATCGCACAGCCCTGGAGGCTGACAGTCTGAGCTCAAGGATCCAGCAGGCTGGTTCCTTCTAAGGGAGGTTCAGCCAATGAGCGTCATGTCCTGTGGGCGCCTGATGGACCCGCTGCGTGGCTGTCCCGGCTCCTCCCGTGGGAAGGCCGTGTGTACTCAGCGGCTTGTGTTCCGACTGCTGGAGAGAGTCTGGTTTGCTCTTGAAATACTTTTCTTTTTCAGAACAAGAGTGGTCACTTCCTTTACGTGTCATTTCTTCTAAATTTGAGGAAAACCCCAGAAGTTGGGGCCCAAGTTGTGAACAGTGAGAAAGTGGGGTGTTCTTTTCTTCCCCTTACACAACCACGCTGTTAAGCTCTGTCCTGCCCAGCTGTCTGTGGGGACCGTCCCCTGTCCTTCTACAGAATTTGGGGCGTGACTTGTTTCTTTTAATTACATTTATTTCTTAGCCAGCTCTTCTCCACCATTTACCCCCCACCCCAAAGCTTTCTTAATGTCCTTTCTGTTAACATAGTTAGTGGTCCTGGTTGGCTAAACTGGGTCTTAGTTTTGTGTTTTCAGAACATTTCTAAGTCAGCATCTCAGGTCCCACACTGTCTCCCCTGCAACAGGATTGGACAGATTGGATACATCCTCTTCTGCCAGCTTCTGATTGGCTGTTCCCCTTTGCCCAGAGACTGACTGCTTTTCCCTCCCAGCCTTCCTCAGAACTTCGGGTTTTATTTTATTTTTTTTAAATCCTCACCTGAGGATATTTCTTCATTTATCTCCAGATAGAGTGGGAGGGAGAGAGAGGGAGAGAAACATAGACATGAGAGGGACACATTGACTGGTTGCCTCCTGCATAGCCCCAACCAGGGCTGGGGACAAACTGCAACTGAGGCATGTGCCCTTGGCCGGAATCGAACCCACGACTCATTGGTCCACGGGCCAATGCTCTACCACTGAGTCACACTGGCCAGGGCTGAACTTTTGGTTTTATAACTCGACAGTTACGACCTCCCATATCACACCGACCGGGTTGTGTGACCGGCTCGTTACTCTGCAGCCTGAGCTTGGTTCGGCGGCTGCTAGCTGAGATTCCGAATTGCGGTGACTTCTCAGAGTTAGCGGGAATGATTTCACAAATCTTTTTCTCAGCTACGCTGTGGCTCCAGATAAAGGTGAAGTGTTTTGCATCGGGCCCAATCAATAAGTTAAAGGCACTGAGCACTTTGCCGGATGCTGCCTGTTTCAGTATCAGAGCAGCTGGAAAACATGCACACGTATTAGACCAGGTCGGTGGTCTTTTCCCCTGGCCAGCAGGGGAAACTGAGGCGCAGAGAGGTTGTAAGCTGCAGATCTAGGCTGAGAAGCCACAACCACAAGTGATGATGATGATGATGAAAATGTAAGGGTCAAGTATTAAATATAAAACCCAGCATTGATGTTTACTTTTTTTCTTTATTGATTTTAGAGAGAGAGGAAGGGAGAGGAAGAGAGAGATAGAAACATCGATGAGAGAGAACATCGAGTGGCTGCCTCCTGCATGCCCCCCACTGGGGATCAGGCCCACAACCTGGACATGTGTTCCGACCGGGAATCGAACCGGCAACCTCTTGGTGCAGGGCCGACACTCAACCACTGAGCCACGCCAGCCGGACATGATGTTTATTTTAAACTTCCCTTTCCCAGTCTCGGTTCTAGTGGAGGAGGTGACTTCCTGTGTCATTATATCGTGCTCTGTCTGCTCATTCTCCACGTCTGTGCCCTGGGCTCCCGAGGCCCCCTGGCACTGCCCCTCACTCCTGGAGGCCGACCGGGATGGAAGGTGTGGGAATCTGAGCGAGAAACCGATACACACTGTGGTCCTGGAGCCATGAGGGGTCATGACCTTGGCGTGCGCACCTGGCTCCCACGTGTGGGTCGACGCCAGGTGCAGAGTCACGCATCCGATTTCCCCTCCCCTCTCACGCTCCCTCTCTCTCTCCTTCAAAGGTTCAGACATTTGGGGAAAGGATTGTGCTTTTCCTTCTCAACGTCGTTATCTTTGGAAGGTTGGAGAGAAAATTGGACGACGACGACATGTTCTTTTTGCCTCACTCTGTGAGGGAGCAGGCGAAAATTCTGTGGCGAGACGGAGCGGCGGTCGGGTTCTACACAACGAAAAGGAAAGGTAGGGGCAGGGCTGGCCACCCCCCTGCCAGGCTCTGGGTGACTTCCTGCCTCCGAGGGGTCTCTCGGCACAAGCCTAACCTGGGGTGCGTCTCTGGGCCCAGTGTTTATCACTAGTTCAGCCATGATGTGAGTGAACCCCAGGTTCGCCTTCACAATCACCCCCTTCTCTGCCCGGCAGGCGGGCTGGGGCCGAGCCACGTCCCGGGAAGTACCTGCTTCGGTTAACGGGGCAGAAGGACTTCACGACCACAACGCTTTCCTTAGTGTTCCCAGTGAGCCCTCAGGGAAAATCCCCCTGCTGGTCGCTGCCATGTGGCGGAAGGCACCGGGTGCCCAGGTTTGCAGACCCCCCGTCAGAGAGGGCGGGGGCCACGGTGGCAGGGCTGGCGAAGGCCGGGACGAGAAGTGACCGGGGAGCGAGGGACATTCGCTGAAGGGCTTGGTCTCGCCTTTACAGTTGCTTCCTTTAAGAGTTTAAAACATTTTACAATTTATTGTTCAATTACAGTTGAAATGCAGTATTACATTAGCGTCAGGTGTACAGCATCCTGATTACACGTTAATCTACCTTGCAAAGTGATCATCTCAATAAGCATGCATTCTTTTTTTTTTTTTATTCCTCGCCCGAGGATATTTTTCTACCTGTCATCAGATAGAGTGGGTGGGACAGAGAGAGAGTGAGACAGAGAGAAACATCGATGCAATAGAGCTGTATGGACTAGTTGCCTCCTGCACGACCCTACAGGGCAGGAATCAAACCTGTGACTCACTGGTCCGAGGGCCCACACTAACTGCTGAGCCAAACTGGCCAGGACCCATCATCGCATTCTTGAGGGTTGTATGTCATCTCTGGTGGTCTGTTCAAATATTTCTCCAATGTTCTTATTGGGTTGCTTGTTTTCTTATTTAGTTGTGAGTGTTCTTTTTTAAAAAATTTTTTTTTCTTTATTGATTTTAGAGAGAGGGAGAGAGACAGAAACATCGATGAGAGAAAACATCGATTGGCTGCCTCCTGCACGCCCCCCACTGGGGATCGGGCCCACAACCTGGGCATGTGCTCTGACCGGGAATTGAACCGGGACCTCTTAGTCCATGGGACGGCACTCAGTCCACTGAGCCGCACTGGCTGGGCTGAACTTATTTCTTAAGTAGGTACTGTGTGTGGAAATTTATTTGCTTGACCATTGCATTATCGCATGGGGACTCGTTTGGACATGGATCATAGACTTTTGTTTCTTGTCTTTTCATCTCTTTCTGTAAGTTGAGAGAGGCTTTATTTTGATGAATTGATAATTGGTTGCTTTGAGCAGCATGCAAACAAGTTAAAAATAATTCAGACAGTGACTAGATACGTTTTCCAGTGTTCTATGATTTTACACAGTGGTTTCTGAAAAATCCGTGAAACCAGTCACTGAAGGGACGACGGGTCGAGTTCACATTCAAAACTTCGGAACGGTTGAGGGCGTTTCTGCAGCCGTGGCGTGTCGGTTGTCACAGCGTTACGTGGTGGGGTGTCGATGCTGAAGACACGGCGTGGCACACGGCATGCAAGGCCACGTGGGAGCTGTGGCCTTTCTCCCCGTTGCTTCAGATCCCGTCACTTCAGATCCCCGTGGTTCGGAATATCTGTTCGTTCAGCTGGGGCCAGGCTGAGGTTGATCATTTCCTCCTGTGCAGGAAAGAAATGTACAGAGTCCTTGTCTAATAGGGGCCAGATCGTACTCCCCGAAGAGTATACATTGTTTCAAGCTTTCAAGGGAAGAAAAGAACTGGATGGGTGAGTGTAGAGTGGGCCGATTGAGGGCAGAGCTGATACGTTATCTTGATTTTGTATAAAGCTCGAAAAAAGCACAACTTGACATTTCAGATCCCCGAAAGCCCGACTCATGCAGATCGTGGGCCGAGCGGCCCTTCCAAGTGTCAATTAGGTGAGCCGCAGTGCAGACAAGCACATGACCCGGGACAGGGCGACGCTTTGGAGTGGCCCTGGCGGCCCTGCCTGTCCCCATGAACTCCTGTTTGCCCCTCCCCCCGGCACCCAGGGCCATGGGTGCCTCCTGTCTGATGGTCCATCCAGCAGGGTGCCCGCATTTCAGCTCCTGGCCTTTAGCAGAAACACGCAGCAAAAAGCGAGGAGGCGAGAGTGTCGTGTTTGTTGAGGTGCCGACCCCATCACCTGACGAGACAGATTGCTGTCACCTTGAGGGCTTGCGAGATGGGGGGTATTGAAAGGGTGCAGGGGATCGTGGGGTGCAGCTGGCATCTTCTGCTGGGATGGGCCTCCAGCACCAGCTCCATTGACACCTTTGCAAACCAGCTCCCTTTGCCCCCTTGTTTCCTGCCTCCGTATAACCTTGACTCTGGTTTGCCAGGCTGCACCTGTACCTGCCTTAAAGGGGCAGGACCTACATAGTCCTCTTTCTCTTTCATTCCAAGTCTCCTGAAAGCGTGCGATTGGTCCAGCTGGCCTGTGTGTTGGTTTCTTGTGGACCGTGGGTTTTCACCTTTAGCCTGGGCTGGAATACTTCCGATCATCGCTGCCCACCTCGAAGGGATGGAGTATTCTAGTAGGCACGGTTTGTGCTGTTTATATCATGCGGGCTATGGGGGTTCTCGGACTTCACCCCGAACCTGCTGCATTGGAAACTCGGGGTGGGGTGGGGCCCAGCAGTCTGTGTGAACAGGTCCCCCAGGTGCTTCTGTGTCTCTGACGTTTGAGGACCATTCATCTAAGGCCTGTGTTCTTAGTTGGGTGCTATTGCCCTGAGTGGGCAAACATTCATTCTTGGGGAGCAAAAAAAAAAAAACCTTAGATGTGAAAGTGGTTTGTGGCTCTTCAAAGCTCAGCCCTACCCAATAAAGTCTTGTTCCTTAGTATTTAGTCCGCGGGGGAGGGAGGGATGGCGATGAGGAAAACTGCCTTTTCTGACCTGCACACCTTTGAGGCGTACCGGTCAGGGGGTTGATGCTCCTTCTCTCAAGTTTGTCTGATAGCTTCTCCTGGTTAGACTGGGGCAGTGGGTTTCGGGGAGAGCGAAGTGCCTGTCCTCATAGGCTCGCCTAACATTGGGGGGAGGGCATGGAATCACATAACCATTAGTGACGCTGATCACTCCAGGGGGCATCTGCCCAGTGTATCCTCCATAGACTTACTGTTTCCCTTCCCCTACTTAACTGTGTCTTTTAAGCACACTTTCAAATCAATCCATTGTATCTTTTTAAAGTCAGTCTTACATCCCATAAAAGTTGCCGATTTAAGTTGAACCACTCAGTGACTTTCAGCAAATTTAGAGAGTTGTGTAACCATCACCCCGATCCAGATTTCCGGTATTTCCTCCACCCCAAGAAGTTGCCTGTTGATGTCAGTTTCTGTTTCCATCCCAGCTCTAGGCGACCACCGATCTGCTCTCTGTCTCCATCAACTTGCCTTTTCCTGGACGTTCCATGTAAACGGAATGACACACTGTGCGATTTTTTTTTAAAACATCTGGCTTCTTTCACCTCGTATGGTATTTTTGAGGTTTATCCAAATGGTAGCATATATTTGTATGTTATTCCTTTTTATTGCTGAGTAACGTTTCGTGGTATGAATATACCACATTTTGTTTATGCGTTTACCAGCCTGGTTTCTAGTTTGGGGCTATGATGAGTACCGCTGATGTAAGCACCCACATACCTGTCTCTGTGTGGGTGTGTGTTCTCATTTCTCTGGACGGAATTGCTGGGCCGCCAGCATGTGTCTAACTTTCTAAGAAACTGCCCAATTATTTGACAAAGTGGCTGTACCATTATATATTCCCATCAGTAACAGATGAGGGGTTCCAGTTTCTCCCCTTTCTGTCCACACTTACTGTTGCTTGTCTTTTCTATGATAGCTATTCTAGTAGGTGAAAAGTTACATTTCACCGTGGTTTCCATGTGCATTTTCCTAGTGACTAATGATACTGAGTTCGTTTTCACTGATGTTAACCATTGTATGTCTTCTTTGGGGAAATGTTCTTTTAGATCATCTGATTTTTTTATTGGTTGGGTGTTTTCATTTTATTGAATTGTAAGAGTTCTTTATATATTCTGGATGGATAGATAGATAGATATAGATATAGATGTATATTTTATTTATTAGAAATGTGATTTGGAAATATTTTCTTAGAGTCTGTGGCTTGTCTTTCCATTTTCCTGGTGGTATTTTTGGAAGTACAATGGTTTTTAATGCTGGTGGTGTCAGAGTGGCCCGTGGCCTTGGTTCTGGTGTTGAGTCTGAGAGCTCTGTGCCTACCCCTAGGCGAGGTTGTGAAGACGTTTTTCTGAAAGCTTTGTGGTTTGAACCCTTACATTTATGTCTAGATCTGTCTTCAGTTAATCTTTGTGTATGATGTGAGGCAAAGGTCCAACTCCATTTTTAAACTACCTACTATATTAAAAAATTAATGAATTTTAGTCCAGCCAGTGTGGCTCAGTGGCTGAGCATCAACCCATGCACCAAGAGGTCGCCAGTTGGATTCCCAGTCAGGGCACATGCCCAGGTTGTGGGCCCGATCCCCAGTGGGGGGCATGCAGGAGGCGGCCAATCGATGTTCTCTCTCATCGATGTTTCTCTCTCTCCCTCTCACTTCCTCTCTCTCTAAAATAAATAAAAGAAATTTCTTTAAATTGATGGATTTTATGTTTAAATTAAGAGTATGTTTAGGTGTATAGAAGTATGGAGCAGGACATTCAGAGTCCTCACAGACCCCCCCCCCCCCCCCACACACACAGAGGTGCTGCTGGGCCAGGTTCTTCCTGCAGGCACAGCAGAGGTGCTGGTGCTGGTTGCGGTGAAGTTGGTTCAGGTAGAGAAGGGGGGCTCTGTCACCTCCCGTGTTCTCAGGGAGGTCATTGATGTTTTATGGGAACCAGGACCGTCTACTGGGCGTGAATGCCCTTTGCTGCAATGGACACGAGCCCTGGTTAGAGTTGCTAGAACAAGTGCGTGCCCTAGAGATGTGTGTGGGGGTCTCCCAGCCCACACCCCGGGTCCAGGTGGAGCTGTGATGTGGCCCGGATGTCCCCCTTTGGCCCCAGGGGTCTCTGTGGGCCGTGCACAGTGAGGACAGGCTCTCAGCCTCCCTCTGCTCAGTCACCAGGTGGCTCTTCATTCTAGGGCCACTGCCTGGAGGCTGCGCTCCCATCCATAGCAGGGGGGGTGAGCCGGGAGTGGCCGTGGGCGTCCGAGGGGTCAGTGACCGGCCGTGCGGGCGTCCGAGGGGCCTGCAGTGGGTGCAGGCGTCCGAGGGGCCTGCAGTGGGTGCAGGCGTCCGAGGGGCCTGCAGTGGGTGCGGGCCCAGGGCGCAGCCGTGTCCCTCGCCTTCCCCCGCAGGCAGCCTGTGCGGGGATGGCACGGGAGCCTGCTACCTGCTGCCCGTCCTCGACACCGTGTTTGTCCGGAGGGGACACCGGCGCCAGGGCCTGGGCGTGGCCATGCTGCAGGACTTCTGTGGAACATTCCGGGACGAGGAGGCCCTGGGGGTCAGCTGGCCGATTTCTCCTGCCATGTACCAAGGTAAGCCCACCTGGTGTCGGTAGAAGCATTTGGGTAGCAGTGAGGGGCACACGTGTTCCCGTGGTCCAGGGAGGGCGGGTCCTCGGGGTCCTCCCTCTGCACTGTGACCCCTGTGGGCTCCCTCTTCTCCTGCGAAACCTCCCAGGGCTTCAGCTCATATGAGACTTTATGTTCGGTCACGAGGGCCTACCCTCTCCCAGCCGAGAAGTCACCGGAGTTAGATGTGATAGACAAGTGGGCACAACGTCAGCGACTGCCCTGGGCCTCCGAGAGCCGGCCACATCGGAGTTCGTGGTCCATCCCTGGGCCCAGGGCTGTGGGAGTTCGTGGTCCGTCCCCGGGCCCAGGGCTCTGGGAGTTCATGGTCCTCCCTGGGCCCCGGGCTCTGGGAGTTCGTGGTCCTCCCTGGGCCCCGGGCTCTGGGAGTTCGTGGTCCGTCCCTCGGCCGCAGGCCCAGGAGCCGCAGGGAAGGGGCTGGCCTGCCAAGGCTGAAGGCTGTGCCCGGTGCCGGGTGAGCAGCGGACGAGAAGGAGCGCGGGGCACGGGCCAGGCCCTGCTCTCACTGAGCACAGGCTGCCCATGGACGGCAGGAGGCCCCGTGCCCGGGCCCACGCTTCAGAGCGGCCGCTCCTCTCTCCGTGGGCCGAGGGATCTGGGAGCTCCAGAGGTGTCCCTGGGTCCGGGCCACTTGTGCGCAACCAGCTCAGAGCACCAGGCCCCAGGATTCCTGTTGGTGGTCCCATGGGCCCAAGGGACCCCATCCCTGGATCTGTGCACCCAAGAGCTGACCACACTCCGTATCCTCAGGCCCCGGGACAGCAGCTGGGGGGATGGGAGGAGAGGGCCCGTGCAGGGTGGGCGGAGCCAGGGTGTGAGAAGTGGGCGGGCTGCCGGCATCGCCACATTCCTGTGCAAAACTCCAAGGTGCCCAGGATTTCTGAGCTTGGAACTGGCTGTCCCACGGCTGTGAAGTGACATCTGTGCAGACGGGGTCAGAGCCTTCTCTCCGGCGTGTGCAGCTTGGCTCACGCCTTCCGGTGCTGAGCATCAGCTCAGGTTTCCGTCGGTGCTGCTGCCCCGGCCTGGGAAAGCCTGGGAAAGCGGGCAGAGGCCCCTCGGGACCTGCGGGACCGGAGCGGCCTCTCGCTCGCCCGCACTGGGGTCCTGCCGCGTGGAACGCTCACCTGGGAACGTGGGCCCAGATCCACGGCCTGGGGGGACTTGGGGATCAAGGCATCTGTAGGATGAGCTGGAAGGCTCCGTGGGAGAGGAGGCTGGGGGGGGGACAGTGTCCAAAGTGGGTGATGTTATGGGGTGAGCTGGGTTCCCCCAGTTCTTATGTTGAAGTCCTAGCCCCTGTGTGGAGATGGGGCCTTTAAAGAGGTAACTGAGGCAAAGTGAGGTGGTAGGGCGGGGCCCTGGCCAGGACAGGTAAGAAGAGGCCCAGGTAGCCGAGGAGAGAGGCCAGCCTGCCGACGCCTGGGTCTCGGACTCTCAGGCTCAGAGCTGAGCGAACGGTGCCTTGTTCAAGCTGCCGGTCCTCGCGGTGTGTTCTGGCTGCCCGAGCCGAGGGAGGCCGGCGGTGTGAGGGCATGGGACGGGGGGAGAGGATGCGGACACAGAGCGCAGGCCGGGTGCTGGGCAGCAGGGACACCCGGAGTGGCCATCGCTGAGGTCACCACCCGGTTGGCGTGTGTGCAGGCCGCGCCCTCCGGCTCACGTGGGCCCTTCCCCCAGTCTGCAGGAAGTTCCTGCTGGCCCACCCGGAGCAGCGCGGGCGCCTGTGGGAGGTGGAGCCCCCTGGAGCCTGGGGCCAGCGGGACAGCATCTGGCTGAAGCTTCAACTGCGACAGGCCAGACTCCCAGACCGCGAGTCGGCGTGAGGGGCACTTGGATGTCGTTACTCCCCGGAGTGCGGACGCGCCCAGGCTGGTGCCCGGCTTGCTGTTGCTGCTGGAACACGGACAGGGACGCTGGGTGGTGGCCGATGTCCTCCCTCACCTTCCCTTCCGAGCAAACCGCACCGGCTGAACCCCTGCCCGCGAAGCGCTCCCCCATTTAGGTGAATCAGAAGCTCCCTGTGACCCAGGGCTGGCCCGTTACCAGTCAGCACGGATCCCTGGGACAGGGAGGGGGTGAAGTCTCTTTCGAGTAGAAGATCAGTGGACAACGTGACTTCATAAGACGCACACGGTTTACTGTAAAGGGCTGTCCCCTGTCCCCTTGTCCTCGGGGAGAACGAGAAAAGTGGCCACACCCCATAAACAATGTTCTGCAGTGAGCACCTGCTTCTTTTTACGGGCAGCAGTGTGGTGTCAGATGGAGATGTCCTCGTCTACTTGGGCAGCTCGCTCTGGGCACACACGCTATTTTCCGTTTGGGGTTTGCAGCTGGTGCCATGGAGTTTGCTGGGGGTATTTCCCTAGCAGGTGCCACAGGGAAGCAGCGGGTGGGGCGACCACCAGAGGGCAGCAGGGGGCGGCAGAGACACTTGTCTCGGGCCTCCCTGTGGCTTTCTGCCAGTGTCCCTCCCTTCTCTCCTGCGCTCAGCCCTCAGGGTCTGGGCCTGGCAGGCTGGATGGGCACAGCGCCCTGCGGGCTGAGGTGTGTGGTGCTGGGAGACTCGGGAAGTTCTCAGAGTTTAAATTTCCTGGCTTTCCTTCCCTCCTGGCGTCAGGTGCCATCGCTGAGGGCTGCGGGTAGGCTGAGGTGCCTGGCTCTGTCCCCCTGATGTACCTTAGCCAGTGACAGGGAAGAGGGCCTTGGACTTTATTGATGATAATAGCGATCGTCTTGGCTTTTACAGGGCCCCTCAGCTAGAAGAATTAATGGATCTTACAGATATTAATGGGGTGACCAGGCACCTGGGGAGAAACCATGGCAGGGCTGTGACTGGGATCCTAATGAGGGGTCAAGTGAGTCACCTGGTGGCACCGAAATTAGACATGGGGACGTGAGCCGCCCTGGGCCCTGCACTGAGCTGGCCGGCCCTGCGGGTGTAGGGACAGCTACACAAGCAAGTCCCCGGCCCCGTGTGCTCCGGAGGCTGCAGCCCCTTGGCTGGGGATGGGAGACGCGAACGGCTGGCCTGTCGGGATGGGAAGTCACGTGGAAGTCGTCCAGGCCGGAGGGGTGCACGGGGGGATGTTCGCATAATTGGGGAGATGGCGTTCCCCCAGGAGAATTGCACTGGGGTTATTTCAGGAGCCGAGAGCCTGTGGTCTGGTCGGAGCTGAAGTCAGATGCCAGACTTGTCACCTTACCTCACTCTGAGATTCGCCAGCTCTCGCTTCAAATCAGCAGAGGAGGGAACTCTGCCGGAGAATGTTCCAGAAGCATGAAGGAGTCCCTTGCAGGAAGAAGGGTCATCATTATAACTAGGGCATAATTAGATGACGAAATCTCTATAATTAAAAAACAATGTTTAGGGTATGGTGTTTTCCCTCCCTGTATACATGGGCCCTAGGTCACAGTCCCCCTACACCTGTCTCCCCCGGGCCAGCCGTCGGGGTCTCGATTCGCCCCGGAAGGCTGTCAGCCAACCAGCTTCGTCTTGGGACAGTTTGTCAGAGCTGACATTTCAGGTCGGCTGCAAACCCAGCCACAGACCAGGCCGGGTGCTCTGCAGTCTGCCCCTCTCTAGTCTCTTCGCGCTCCGTGGGAATCCGCGAGAGTGGCCCATTTGCTGTCCCCAGGTCACCTAACGAGGCAAATGCTGGCGTCTTCTCTTCCCTGGACATCTCACCCTCGGCCACTGCACTTGGTTTGCGTTGTCAGTCAGTTATTCTTAGAGGTGCTTCCTTGTTCCGGTCTTCGAGCCCTCTCTCTGTCCCTTTCTTCCCGAGTGTGACTTCGGAGGTTTCTAGAAGGTCTCATGCTGTGGAGATAAGCAAGAAAGCCAGGGGAGTGGGTCGCTCTGTGCCCAGGTGAGCGTGGCAGTCGCGGGATGCCAAGGGAAGTCGAGCCCTGCCAGGTGCCCGCACATCTGTTTCTGAGGCAGCGTCATTGTGGACAAGGTCTTTCAGAGTTGGCACAATTCTGCCTGTGATAACATCTGTGGCTGGTAAGGGCCCTGGAAGTATTTATAGGGTTATTCTGATCTTCTGAGAGGAGTTTGCGGGAAGTGTTTTCCTCGCTCCACTGCGTTGCTAATGAAGCCTTTGAAAGTGGACCAGTAGGATCGTCAATCTGTCAGCTGCAACCCCCCCGCCCCAACTCGCACACGCCTTCACTTTCTTTACTGGAGAAGGTGAAACTGATGCCGCCGATCCTTACACAAAAATGTTGCTGGAGGCGGAGGAGAATTGCCCGCCGCTTTCAAAATTGCTTTTTCATCCTTCGGATTATAGTTTTGCTTTCTTTCCAGGTGCATTTTTAATCGATTCGATTGTCATCCACAGGGAAAGTAGTATTTTTTTTTTTCCTATTTACATTAAATTTTTGCAGCTAGAGGGAGTGTGTGTATAGAAAGAGGTGTGACTATCCGGGCTGGGAGGTGGGGTCTGTGATCCTGTTTCAGCTTGCCCTGGTGGGGCGGACGTTGCATGACGCAGCAGTGATAGTGGTTGATGGCAGTGAGCTGGGCGGGGAACCTCGGCGGGATGCAGAATTCTCTCCCCTGCTGCTCCTTGGAAGGTTCTGTGTCTCCCTCTAGTGGCCATCGTGTCTACCGCGTCCCGGATGGTGACTTGTGGGTGTTGACATTGACCTACCTGTGTGGTTGCTTCTCAGGCTCTTACACTTGTGGGCTCCAGTTCGTGCCTTCATTAAAAAAACAAAAACAAAAACAAAAAAAAACTTACTGAACTTTCATTTACTAAAATATAAAGTGAGCATTTGATAGCTGCTACTGGGTATACTTTGGTCCGTAACACATAAAAACAATTCCATACATCAGGAAAGGTAGACCAATAATGGGTTATCTACTGCATTCTCTCATTCAGTCACTCATTCATTCATTCATTCATTCATTCATTCATTCATTCATTCATTCATATATCTGCTCATCCGTCCAATTGGTTGCCGTTACTGGAACATCTTCCAACACCAGGCATTATCCGAGGTGATGGGGATACAGTGTTGAATAAGGCTGACAGTCTCTGAACTAGTTTGTGAGCTTACGTTTTTTGGTGAAGAAAAGTACATGGGCAGCTCCTGCTGTACACGTAAAAACTCCAAGAGAGAACGAAAATGTGCTGGTGTTTTTAAATACTTTCATTTACCTTTTTCCAAACCAAATGTTGCTGACTTATAAAGTCTGGAAATACACTTTGAAATGTACTTGTATAGGTAACAACTAAGTAATACATTTATTCTTTAATTGAAAAAATGCTTCATTGATATTTTCAACTCAAACAGAACACCGCATACTTATTTCGGGATCTGGCCTCCCCCTGCCAAACCCACACATCAGGGTTTTGGGGTGTGGGGGGCACGCACCGGGTCGGGACAGGCATCCGGTTCGAAGTTGGGACTGATGGAGGGGGGAGGGAGGCTGCATGAACATGTGTGATCGTGGGCTCGCTTGTGAGTACAAATCCCACCGACACAGTGGAAGGCTGGGGATGGAGCTAACAGCCTGACGCCGTTGAATGCCCAGTCATTGGAAGAGAAAATGAAATTCCAGCCCAGACACGCCTGAGGAGAACCGGCGCTCCATGCCCTCTGTCCTCCAGGGGGCGCTGTCGACGCGGAGGTCCACAGGGTGGAACCGGGTCAAGGGGATCTGCTGACCAGCGCTTCCGGAAGGGCCCCGGTGTGCGATTCATCTCCCGCGCGTCCACTTCCTCGGGAGCACCCCCGTTTGCGCGTCCTGCTCTCGGCTTGGGGCGGGCAGCTCCCCCAGGAAATTCCAAGGCGGACACGAGCAGTCCCGGGCGGACCCGCCAAGGTAACGGACCGGCACGGAGATGGCGACAAGGCAGTGGTGGCTGTGCCCTCGAGGACCGTTTCTCGTGTACTTAGTCGTCATGCTGTGCCTCCGTGGACGCCGACATCACGCCGGGGTCGTCCTGAACACCTCGCCGGGCTGGGGGGGGGGCACTGGTTCAGGCTCCGCCTCGCTGCCCGCGGTGGGGGAGGGGCGTTGTCCGTGGGCTTCGCGGGGCCCTCTGCGACCAGGCTTGCACCAGGGACGTGCGACCAGCTGTCACCTTGCACTGTTAAGGAAATACTGAAAAATATGAATTTCAAAGTCTGCCCCGGACCAGCGTCTTTCGGGCAGACCGACAGCGGACAAGGTGGTCTTCCTTCCCTCCCCTGCCCGCGTCCGGACCCAGACGGCGAAGCGTGGCGCTGGCCGTCGCGTCACCCCGAGCGGTGGGAGCCAGCCCGTGGGCAAGGACGGCCGGCCCCTGCCCTTCTCGGGTCTGTGCTGCTCAGGATGTGGAAAGATCTGGAGTGGTATGACGTCGTGAGCATCTCCCAGAAGCCCAGACACTTGCCACACAGGGTCACTGCGACAGCGTCCACGCCGGTGTGGACGGGCCTTCGCTCGTGAATCCCTGAAGAGTCGACAACGATTTAAAAAATTCAAAACTTATCCTTGCACTGTGGCAAATACTGCTTATTTTGGAAAGCGGGCAGTTCTGCGACAGACCATTGACCACCAAAGGTACAAGTGCTGGAGGGTTTTCGCCAAGCTGCCCGGAGTCCCACAGTCCCAGCCGTCCCTGGCCAAGGAGGGCTTCGCTTTCCTGGCCAGTCCACGCCCCCCCAGGCCACAGAGCAGCGGGCATTCCCTGCGCCCCTGCTGATCCCGACCTTGAGCTTGCTCTCAGTTTGAAGGCCGTTAGAGGGAGCAGGAGCCGGACACGGAGCAGATGGCGCCCCTGGTGCGCGGGTGAGCAGGGAGCTTGTGGGGTCTGGAGACGCCGCTGGCTGG